ACTGTGGAATCGGACTTGGAACGTCAAAAAACGTCAGGATAGGTATACTCGGTCAAAGTCAAAGGTCGTTTAATGCCCGGTAAACGCCGGTCAAAGTTCTGGTCAACTGTGGTCAACACCGGTCAACGGTCAACAGTAGACCATTTTACACAAATATCACCCCTAACATAAATTAATTACAAAATTAGCCACCTTCTATAAATATTTACGAAACTAAAACCCGAATTTTACACAAATAGCACTCAAACAGAAATTAATATCAACCAGACGATGCCCACTCTTAGGGGTGGAGCGTGCGACACATGAACAGTAACCCGGTGTCGGAAAATTCCCGGAAAAATTCCTAAAATTATTTTAAGCGATTTTGAGGTACTTACAAAGCTTTGTTCACAATTTTGAACGGCAGAGAGTTCGATTCGAAAACGTCGGAAACTTTGATGGTCTCACCCCTCCACGCGCCGGCGACGGCAGAGAAACGAATAACACTGGTGGACTCGGAACATTGTAAGGAAATCGATGGTGCGGGAGGTGTCGTAAACGGATGACCAGATCGTCGTGAATCGACGAAAAACCAACTGAAATCGAGTTATTACCGACAATACTTTCGACTGAAATTAACGAAGAACATCGATGATTCACGACAAAAGGTTTGAGGGGTTTTGTTCCTCGGTCGACAATGAACACGATGGTGGTTTCGGTTCGTCGATCGGAGGTCGGACGACAAGTAGATCGGAGTTGAAAGTTGTTGACTGGGAGAGGAAAAATGAGAGTTTTTTTCTGCATAATACATGGAAAATGAGTGTTATAATTCATCCTAAAAGAAAAATGGTCAAATCATGAGTTTAGTCACTGAATTTCTTACACTTTATAAAACAGTCTGCCAACTTTGAAATTTTTCAATTTAATCTTCAATTTTCCTCCCAAAATACCAATTAAATTCAATACTTTATAATTCCTAAAATTTAACCCCCAAATTGGGGTGTTACAACGTCATTTATTCTCGATTGGAAATAATTAGATTTTATCATTTTCTCTCGAATCAATATTGATTTTTAAGACGAAATGTTGATATCTCTTCATTTCAATTAGAGTAATAAATGATTGCTTTAAGGCATGAGAGGTCATTTATTCTCGATTGGAAATAATTAGATATTATCTTTTTCTCTCGAACCAATATTGAATTTTAAGACAAAATAGTGATATCTCTTCATTTCGATCGGAGTAATAAATGACTGCTTTAAGGCATGAGAGGTCATTTATTCTCGAATGGAAATTATTAGATATTACCGTTTTCTCTCTTAGAATTATTTTGCGCTGTTATTTTGAATTAATATTGAACCTTAGGATGTAATTATAATATTTTCTTTTTTTCTATTAGAGTAAGAATCCAATGCTTTAAGGCATGAGAGGACAATTCTTCTCGATAGGAAATAATAAATTATTATTGTTTTTCGTCCTAAAATTCAAATAATATTACTTGTATGGGATTTTAAATTAAATTAGACTCGAATTCTTAAATTTCATTGCAAAGACAACTAATTAATCGACTAGGTACCAATTTAGGGCGCTGTGGGGGTGCTATTCTTTCTCCACACATAACCGACTCTCGAACTCAACTTTTTTGGTAACACAGACCGCAAATTTGTTGTTTTAACCTATTTATATATATATTGTAGCAACATGCTAGTTTTTCAAAGAGAAAACCCTAGAAGTCAACCTCATATTTATCCCATTACGTCGCGCACCTCTATTAACTAGAAAGAGCAGCTATTGTTTGCCTTGTCATCGTTCATCTCTCGTGCTCCACTTATCCAGAGCAATTGTCATCCACCGCTCGACCAACCACCGTCTGGTAAGCGTCCACCAGCCTTTTCCGGTTATTTTAGTCATCTATAATGTTTGGGTTTCTCCATTTGAGTTTGGTTTCCCTAAAAAAATATGCATCTCTACTCTTAGTTACTGATAATGTTGTAACACCGCTCTTAGCTTCACCTACTGGATATTATCTCAATTTTCTTTAATCATAGGGCTACGCTAACAATTGAATGATTAAATTCACCCATTTGAAATTATGTGCAAACCGATTTGCAAGTCTAGTATATATGTGTTTCATCTTGAGGAAAATTTTGCTTTTTAGCTATCTCTATACATGTTCGATGAAGTTTTGGATGTAGTAAATCTAAGCTTACTTGCATTCTATAAAATATCAATTTTTAATTGGTTTAGAAGTGTGAAATAGTTTTGGTCCTGGGTTTGCTTCATAGGTTAAACAGTAGTATAAATTGAATCTTTTGGACTCATGTTTGATATCGAACTTAAGATATCTTTTTACCATACTGTGATATCGTATGTCAATAATGAAATAGTTATAACTTCTTACAAAAATTAGCAATGTGCGGGATTAGAATCCCTTATCCCTTTCAATGGGGAGCACTAGGTACAAGGCTTGTTTTGCCTTCATTGACTTTGGATATTTGTTGAAATCTGTTGGGTGATGCCTATGTTACTCGGATCAGCGCCTGTGCAGCCCGCTTCCAGCATTCGTGCAGCCTTCTTCCAGCATTCGTGCAACCTTCTTCCACCATCCGTATGCCCTGCTTGCCCAGCTGCTCAACCCAACGGCGCTGAACAACATGCATTCCACACCTCTGCCTCTTCTACCTCTATTTTGGGACTTCATTGTAAATTGTACAAACATGGGTTGTTCTTGTAATTCGTAAAAAATGATAGTGTTATTGTAATTTATGAGAAGTTGTCCTTTATTGTATTTTATAAAAAAATTGTCCTTTATCATAATTTATAAAAAAAAAGTATACTTTATTTTATGAAAAGTTTAACACTTTATTATAATTTATAAACAATTTTGTACTTTATTATAATTTATAAAACCTTTTGTCCTTCACTTTAATTGCCAAAAAGTTTTTTCTTTTAATGTAATTTCTAAATAGTTTAGACCTTTATTATAATTTCATATTTTTTTTATTTATTAATAAAAATTGTGACGATATTTTTTCGTCATTATTACAATAAAATTATAATATTATTAATGACGATACAAATAATTAATGACAAAATTTTATATTATTTGATGACTTAATTAATTGTCACTGAATATAAATTATAAGATGACATTATACATTAACGTCACTACATGTTTAACAATACGTGACGAAAATATATACATCATCACATTTGACATTTAGTGACACACCTAGCGTAACGTTCTTCGTGACGTCAATATTTACGTTACAAAATACAAATAGTGACGTAAATGTAAGTTTCAATGATAATATTTTAGATGCTACAAATAAACAAATTTGTTGTAGTGTAACAGCTAGTCAAGCAAAACGCCCCCTGCAACCATTATCCATTTGGAAATCAATTTTAACAATAGAACCAACTTGGTTTCCAATAGCTTCAATGATGTTTCTTTTATAAAGAGTGACGGGGAGACCAGGTAATCAGATCCATGCCATTAAACGACTAGGATAAGCTTGAGTCGGCTGAAAGTCTATAGACCATGGTTCCACAGTTATGTAGTGCCCAAAAATGGTCCAAGGTCCTTCTGTGAGCACCTTAAGATAGTCGCCATGATCGCTAAATTTCACAAGAAAAAAATAATTCTCAATATCAATTAGTTTGAGAGGGTGAGAGGGTTTCCAAATATCGTATATGCGATTATGGAAGGTGTTATATCCAACTCTTCGTCCAAGAACTTTGACGACGAGCATTAGATCCATGCTTTTAACAGCAAGAGTTTGAACTCGATCAGAAAAATCTATGGTTGGAATACCGTTGGAGGAGCCAAGAGTGATGTCGTCTTCAAGAAGTTCGGTATCAACATCATCTAAGTTAACGGTTTTTGAATCAGGTTGAGAAGCAGTGGCCTTTGTCACGATGTCCTTGTAGGATATAGCGGGTGGGGAGCCATCACACTCCATCAGAGAAGAAGCGCCTTCGCGAGCCATGGCAGATGGATTAGGCGGTTCTTCATATCTTCTCCTTTGTTTTTTGGGTAGTCTGGGATCGACACTCGAAATTTTAGAGGGTTTCTCCATCAATAGAATTATTTTTTAGATCTACATATAATATTATATGTTTTTTCAATTTATAAAAAATCATAATTATTTTGAGGGATTAATTTATTCAATTTCAAAATCAAGAAAGATCTAAAGAATACTTAAATTAAAATATTTTAGTAAATTAACAATAATTTTAATATTCTAAATTAAAATATTATTTTTCAAAATATAAAGATAAACATATTCATTTTTATAATAAAAAATAAAATACACTTTTAAATATAATATAAATTCAAAATGTTTTTTTATAATAGAGAACTAATTTTTTTTACCAATAATCAGTTGGTCTAGTGGGATGAGACACTAGATCTCTTAAATAATGTTAGGAGTTCAAATCATGACATTTGCAAATGGAGCAAATTGGGTTGGGAGGGTATTCCTCGCCTCTGCAATACCCGATATAGATTAGTCGATTAATAGATCGGATATTAGTAGTCAGGGACAGGCACAAGAATTTGTGTAAGGGGTTCGGATTTAAGAAATTATATTAAAAATTTGGGTGGTGTAAATTTATAAAATCTTAGTGGATACGAAATTAGATATCTCATATAAAATACAAGAAAAATATTTAAAATATAAATGAATTTAAAATTTTTAGGGCTGTGACCACCTCTAGCACCGCCCTCAGTCCATCCTGCATGTGGTTATACAAAAAAATAAAATAAATAAATAAATTTTTAAGTATAATACAATACGCGTCTCTTATACTTTAACCACATGGTTGGAACCTACTTTTGTTCCCCTTGCTTTAAACTTGGAAAGGAGGAAAATACTTGAATATGAGGAAAGAAAAAAAAAAACACCGAAAGCACAGATCTCCATCCACGGAAAAACCAAGACCTAAACGCGTTTATTACATGTTCCGTTCCCCTATAAAACTGAATACTTGACGGTCTCAAATCTCAAACCAGACATCGAGCCACCATATCAGCCCCCCCCCCCCCCAAAAAAAAATCTTAAGCTCTTTGAGTTCCAAGTTTGAACACAATGTCGGAGTTGTTGGAAAAAGCCAAGAACTTTGTGTCCGATAAGGTGGTCAACATGAAGAAGCCTGAGGCCAGCATCACCGACGTCGATTTCACCGGCCTCAGCCTTGTCGAAGGTGCCCAGTATCTCGCTAAAGTCTCGGTTACCAACCCCTATAGCGTTCCTATCCCCATCTGTGAGATCTCTTACACTCTCAAAAGCGATGGCAGGTTTGATCCCCTTCCTCTCATTCTTCATTTTTCACTATGAGCTGTGCAATTGTTTTACATATTGAATGTTTTTGGAATAGAGTGATTGCATCGGGGACAATACCGGATCCGGGATCATTGAAGTCCAATGACTCGACGATGTTGGACGTGCCGGTGAAGGTGCCGCATAGCATATTGGTGAGCTTGCTAAGGGACATCGGAAGAGACTGGGATATCGACTATGAATTGGAGTTGGGACTCACCATGGATCTTCCTCTGTTTGGAAATTTCACCATCCTTCTCTCTCAGAAAGGAGAGATCAAGCTTCCCGCCCTCTTCTAGAAGTCTTCTTCTGTTGAGTTTTAATAATGCTTCTCTCACATTTTCTAACGTTTGTTCACTCTTTTTTAAATACATCCAGTCATTGCAACCTTACATTTAATTATGCTTTTTTTTATTTATTGTAAGAGGCCTTTTGGATCCATGTACTATGAAGTGAATAAAGCGAGCAATTTAATTTTTGCATGAATCAAGTTATCAGTGGTGGAACATGGTAATAGAATTCAGAGGAGTCAACTTATTTTTAAAAAATTTAGAGATTTAAATTAAATTTTTTACTTAAAATATTTTAAAAAATTTAAGAGTTTAATTTACATTTTTTTCAAAATTGGGGTCTAATTAAATTTTTTAAAAATTTGATAGACTTAATGAGAATTTTTAAAAATTATGACAAAGGTTTAATTAAGAACATAAAAAAAATTTAAAGCTTAATATAAATTTCTAAAAAATCTGTAAGGTCCAATTCCTTTTTTTTTTTTCAATTTCAAGAACTAAATTTAATTTTTCAAATTTTGGGGGGCATGTCCCACACATGTACCCACTTAGTTCTGTCACTACAAACTATATTAGTAGTTAAATGGATGATTGTTATCTTTAAAAGTCTCAAATTCGAGCATCAGAGATTACAAGGGTATCTGAACTTTCATTTTCAAATGATTGAGAATATTTAGAATAGATATTACCTCGTATGAATGAAATTTAGTTTTAAAAAATATTCATTTTAAATGATTTTTATTTAAAAAGTAATTTATATAATTTTAATTGAGATGAAAATCTTGTCGGGTTATTCCCTTGAGTCTGCTCATCGAAGGTGCCAAGCCCATGTTCACCCTTGAGTCTGCTCACTAGACATCTAGAATGAAACATCCCTTAACTCCCCTATCCCTCAATCGAATTGTCATCACCCACTAACTCAAATAGATGTTATTCCCTAACACCTTGCTAAATATAACCCTTTAAAATGATTATTGGTTGTTAGATGCAGTAAAAAAACTAAAAATGAAAAAAAAAACCTCAAATGATACTACTACTTTTAGTCTATACTACCTTAACCCCCTCCTCTAACTCTCAAACCACTCATACTTCCGCCACTTACAATATCCCAAAAACCACTTATGTCACCGCACTTAACCCAAACCCAACACCCCCCACCCCACCCCACCCCACAAATTGAAACCAAATATGAGCAATCAACCAACAACATTCAAGACGTTGAATAGTGGATTTTAGGGACTGATACTTAAGGCAAAGTATTGATACCCATGTGGTGGCATCAATATCATCAGTGAGGACCGATTAGTGAACTTCGAGATATTGAATAGAATCAAGAGCGAGGAGTTTCACAATGTTGAGATTGAGCATTTAGCTTGATAGTGGTAGCTTAAAGATGAGAACTCAATATTATGCGATGAACAATAATGTATGATCGAACGTGTAGCTTTTGGGTGATTGCTTGAGTAGCAAGGTGAATGAATAATGACACTAGACTCGATCAAGAAGCCTGGAGCATTGTGATATATCAATAACGAAAATAATAATAATACTTGAATAATATTGTGAATGACTATTAATAGAATGTCAAATGATATGTGATGATACGTTTTTTTTTAAGACTCTCATCTTATTTTTCGTAGATTTTTTATTATTATTTATCATTGTTGAAATGATATTCTTTTGCATGTGGCCCAAACGACCACATTTGAAATAGAATTTAGGCACCCTTTCGTAAGTAAATTTAATAAAAGAAAAAGAGATCCTATGTTTTTCCTTGAAAGGTTAAAACTTATATTTAGAGCAGTGGCTAAACTTGGTGATAGATTTGAAGGGTTAACTTAAAATTTTAAAAATATTTGAAGGTTTAGATTAAAATTTTCAAATATTTAAAGATTTAAATCAAAATTTTCAAAATTTTTGAAGGTTTAATTTATAATTTTTCAAGAAAATTGGGGTGTAACTTTTTTATTTATTTTGAGACTTAATGAGAATTTTTAAAAATTATGAGAATGATTTAATTAAGAATATTCAAGAAAATTAAAGCTTAATATGAATTTCTAAAAGTTTTGTGAGGGCTAAATTAATTTTTTTGAAAATTCCAAAGGTCTGAATTATAATTTTTTAAATTTTTTTGGGAAGTCGTGGGCCTCGTGGCCTCCACATGTTCCTATCGTGTTCCGCCTGTTCTTTAGGGTTATTGACTGCCTGTGCTTTAGAATTATTGACTGCCTGTGCTTTATAGAGTTATTGACTGCTAAGAAAACTTTAATTTTCAATATATTATCTCATTTAATAATATCATTTTCTATAGATTTGAGTGATAAGCTTTGGGAAGATGACTCCAATCTTCTGAGTATCTTATTTGTCGATCAATGCCTTCGACATATTGAAGATGTGAACCCAGAACTTGAACATAGAAAATTTAATTCTCTCTACAGTAGAACCATTAGATAACTCTTTAATACCAAGACACATGGATATGATCAATAAAATTCTGGATACCTTTTCTCATTTCGCTGTCTTGTTGAACTTCGGCTCTGTCGAAGCATAGAGAGCTTTTAACTAGCCTCAAATTACTTTTTTTTTAGAAAAAAAAGGCACATGCCTCTCTAAAGACGAAGAGAAAGGTCTTTAACCAACTCGTAAGGTTTGAAAGTTTTACGGATACGTCATGCATTGTTTAAGATGACACAAAGATACGTGTATTTAATCAGGGGCGGATGCACTAAGCCCCTTAGGGGTCAAGTGCATCCCCATTATTTAGGAAAAAAAGTAAAATTTAGTATAATATGTTAAAGAAAAATTGAAAAAATAAAAAATTTTGTACCCATTATTTTTAAGAAAAGAAAATTAAAATTTTGGACCCCCATTTATAAATTTCTGGATCCGCCACTGTATTTAATATGCTTGTTTGAGAAGAGTTTGTCTACCAGAGAGTATGCTTCAATGAAAACAATTATATCAACATCATTATCCAACTCGAAGTTGTTAATTTCCTCCCACGTGTGGTATTGGTTTTTAACTGTCACAATATAATATTACATTAGTTCCATGAACAGAGAAAATCCCAAGCAACAAAAGAAGGCATTAACACTATGAAACTGTTAGGAAGTGTGAATAACAGAAAAATATAATCAGTAAAGAATTGCATTGATTCATATCAGCTAGTACATTGCTTTTATAACAGAGGTTTAGCTAATCATTAACCACTTAACAAACTAACTAACTTGGCTAACCACCCTCACATACACATATTGTATCTACAACATTCTAACATTCCCCCTGCTCTTCCTTTTCTCCTTTCAACAGCCTAACATTCCCTCTACTTTTCTTATCTCGATCAACTTCGAACAGCAGACACTACACACACACACTTTTGAAATTCTTCAAAAGCATATTTTGACAATGCCTTAGTGAAGCGATCTGCAATTTGGTGCTCAGCTAGTATGTAGTTCACTAATAATTGTCCAGCCGCGACCTTCTCCCTGACAAAATGCACATCCATATCAATGTGCTTAAACTGAGAGTGATAGATGGGATTTGCACTCATTGCAACAGCCCTTGTATTGTCACACCAAATCACTGGTTCTTGGCATTGCTGCAGCCCGAGATCATTAAGCAAGGCACCAACCCAGGTCACCTCAGCAGCAGTGTCTGCTACACACCTATACTCGACTTCCATTGTCGATCTTGACACTGTTATTTGCTTCTTCGAGCTCCAGGCAACAAGACATTTGCTAGCAAAGACGCCATAGCCTGAGATTGACCGTTGATCATCGACATTTGCTCCCCAGTCTGCATCAGCGAACGCTGCAACAGACAGACAGTCACCTCCTGGTTGGAAAATCAGCCAATAATGAACCGATCCAGCTAGATATCTTAATATTCTTTTGACAGCAACCATATGTGCTTCTCTCGGAGCATGCATGAATTGGGCGACCTTGCCAACACTATACGCTAGATCTGGACAAGTGTGGCACACATACAATAAAGAGCCAACTATACTACGGTATTCAATGGCATTAGAAAGTATCTCTCCTTCATTTGCTGAAAGTTTGGAAGGCAACACCATCGGTGTTCCACAGCTGGCTGCTTCTACCATACCAGACTTTTCCAGTAGCTCAAGGATGAACTTCTTTTGGCTCAGTACAATGGAATCTCGTGACCGATGCACCTCAATGCCTAAGAAGTAACTGAGCAGACCTAAGTCCTTGAGCGAGAACCGTTGTCTAAGCGCTTGTACCACCTCTTGTATTATACCAGTAGACTGCCCGGTGATGACAATGTCATCAACATAAACCAGCACATAGGTATCATTCCCATGTTTCATACTGAAAAACAAGGAAGAGTCCGCACGAGATGAGCTAAATCTCATTCCCACCAGACTGTCTTTAAGTTTGGTATGCCAATTTTGAGGTGCTTGTCGAAAGCCATAGAGGGCCTTTTGTAACTTACAGACGAGTTGAGTTTCATTTACTGCCAACATCTCAAAGCCCGGTGGTTGCTCCATAAAAACATCTTCACCTAGGTCCCCGTTGAGGAACGCGTTGTTGATGTTCACATGCCTGAGCTCCTATTCGTTTGTCACATCCAGAGTCAACATAATGTAGAAGGTGGAGAACTTGACCACGGGGCTGAAGGTGGCAGTGAAGTCGTGTCTTTGTACCTGAGAATAGCCTTTCGCAACCAATCTGCCTTTATACCGATGAATGGTACCATTTGGATTCCGTTTGAGTTTGAACAACCATTTGCAGCCTATGGGAGTGCGTCTTGCTAGTAGTTTTACTAACGACCACGTGTTGTTTCTACGAAGCGCGTCTATCTCGGCTCGAACTGCCTCACTCCAGTTGTCAGACTGCAACACCTCATGTATAGAAGCAGGTATATTATGCTCAAAGTAGGCATTGTATGACTTGGGTTTGAATACCCCACACTTGCTGCGAGTCAGCATTGGATGACAACTTTGTCTCACCGAGTTTATAGCACCAGGTTTATTTGAAATATTACCACATGTGGTCATGTTTGCATTATCATGTTCGTCCGTATCAACTGTATTAGGGCCTGTATCAGCATTAGAGTTCGAGGTTGCGTATAAGACAGGAGGAACCTTACTAGCGAACTCTAACGGGGTTACAGTTTCAGTCACAGTCTGAATTTGTTGTGCTTGACCTGGAAGAACATCTTCAGCCAAACCATCCACAAACAGGTAGGACCAATCATATTGTGTCACCTTTGGGTATCAGCAACAATTGGAATATTTTGTGATCGAAAGACACTGACTTTGTGTTGCGTATTGTCTGCCTCTTTACCTGCAAATGGAAACACCATTTCGTTAAACACCATGTGACGCGAAATATAAACCCTTCCATCATCTGTAAGGCACTGGTACCCCTTATGCCAAGGGCTAAACCCTAAATACGTACAAGGTTACGAGCGAGGGGACAACTTATGATTTTGGAAAGGTCTTAGGTAGGGGAAGCAATATCACCCGAAGAGCTTTAGGTTAACATAACAGGGTTTCTTGCTATATAACTTCTCAAATGGTGATTTCCCTTTAAGCACCTTGGTTGGTAACCGATTGATGAGGTGAACAACTACTGTCATCGCATAGAACCAGTACTGAACAGGTAAGGACGCCTGAGCCAGCAAAACCAGGCCAAGCTCAACTATGTGATGGTGTTTGCGTTCGACAACACCGTTCTGCTCCGATGTATGGGGGCAGGACAGATGATGCACAATGCCCACTTGATCTAGTAGCACAGAGAAAGGGTGATATTCTCCTCCCCTGTCGGTTTGAACTGCCTTAACCAACACACCAAACTGAGTTAATATAAGCTTATGAAATAGCTGAAAAGCAGATAAGGCTTGAGCCTTGTCCTTTAGGAAATAGACCCATGTAAACCTGGTATACGTATCTACAAACAATACGTAGTATCGAAAGCCATTAGATGACACGTGTGGGGGTCCCCATAAATCTAAAAAAATAAGCTCAAATGGATCCTTATACACAGTTTTAGATGATTCAAAAGGAAGCTTGTGACTCTTGCCCATAAGGTAGGCCACACAAGTTTTATTAATCTCAGGATCAATCTTTACATTGACTTGATTGGCTATTCTATCTAGAGCATATCAAGCTGGATGTCCTAAGCGACGGTGCCATAGTTCAGACTGATCTCAAGTTACATCTGCAGCCGCTACATGTACAGCAACACCAGGTTCTATTACGAAGGCAAAGGTGTAGAGACCATCATTTTCTTCACCTTGCAGCAGGATATTACTGGTTGATTCATCTCGAACATAACATTTTCCAGCATGAAACTCAACATAAACCGCATTATCCCTAGCAAGCTTGGAGACAAATCAAATTTTTTGTTATACGGGGCACATGAAATTGATCATTCAAAAATAGAGCTCTTGAAGACTCAACAACCGTATTACCAATGTTATGAATGTCAAGTGACACTCCATTTCCCACAGTTAGTTTACATGGGCCTCTAAAGTCAGCAGAATTTGAGATGTTATTAATGTCGGGGGTAACGTGGTGAGTTGCACCCGAATCCACTACCCAGAGGTCAGCTGGTTTAGAAGCCACATGGGCCTGCGGTGATTTTGCAATCGTTTGAGGTCGACCATTACAGCAATCACACCCCGAATTAAGTACTTCAACAGTCGAGTGATGAGCACTAGCAGATTGAGCTTAGTGAGATCGAGGCTCAGCAGTAACACACATGAAATCCTCATCGAATCGATGCCAACATTGGTCAACGAGATGACCGAGCTTACCATATAATTGGCATTGAATTCTGGTTCTTCCTCGACCACGACCAGCAGAACGATTGCCTGAGGAGGGACGAGAGGACCTGGAACCACAGTTGTCATCGGAGTATTTCGCCTCATGTTGAGTAATATTGGCACTCATAGGCAATGAGTCCAAGGATTCATCAAATCCGGCTAACTGGGCTTCAGCGTCTAAAAGCAATGTATGTAATTCTTCGAGTGAAAGCGTTTCTTTCATCGTAATGATAACCGCCATGAACGGCTGGTATTCCCTGGGTAATCCCTTAAGTATACTGGCTATATGGCCAACATGTGGTATTGCACTTCCGTAGGAGACGAGTGCATCGCATACCTCCTTGACTCGGGACAGATAGGTCCTTATAGTGTCATTCCCTTTTCTTAGCGAGCAGTGCAATCCTATAGCAGTGGTGGTCGATCTATTAGAAAACAATTGTTGCACCATGCTCCATACTGTGGCAGCCGAATCTGCTCTAACAAACTGCGGCAGGAGGTGCGGGCTGATGGTGGAAAGGAGCCACGACGCTAGTGCAGTGTCATGTGCCACGAACTCTTCAAAGGCATCATTGACAGTCATCTCGCCATTGCTATCAAGTACCGTCTCCGGTGGTGGCTTCAAGACACCGGTTAATAACCGCTCGAGGCGATGGCTTCGGACTGTGAGTAATATTTGTTGCTTCCACAACTTAAAGTTCATCTCATCAAGGAGAACACTCACTTTCTTGTGTGCAAAATTCTTGGACGACTCCATGATCGTTACCAAGAGAGAGCAGCAGCGAAGGCTTACAAAAAATCCCCAGAGCGTTCGGCGAAAAATACCATGTTAGGAAGTGTGAATAACAGAAAAATATACTCAGTAAAGAATTGCATTGATTAGCTAATTATTAACCACTTAACAAACTAACTAACTTGGTTAACCAACCTAACAATCTAACCACCCTCACATACACGTGTTGTATCTACAACATTCTAACAAAAACAAACTAAAAACACAAAAGAAGTTACTTTTGTGGTTAAATGGATAATTGTTATTTTTAGAAGTTTCAGGTTGGTGCATTAGAGACTGTAAAAGTGTTTGAGTTTTCATTATCAAATGATTGATAATCTTTAGAGCTGATGCTACTTATAATCACCTTAGATTAATTAAAAAAAATTAACCAAAAAACTCACAATTAAAAGACTTAGAGAAGCTGATGCCCAGGAGGAACAAAAGAATGAATCGAAAAAGATGAAGGAAGAGTCGAGGACGAAGCTATGCTTTGTCAGGGGGACAACTACTTCTAGGTTTTTTTATTAAAAAATATGAATATATATATATATATATATATCCACATCAATTTTCTAATTTTAATTTATTTTAATTTTATCCTTATCAATTTTTATTATTAATTACACCTTACTTCTTATGTTGGTATTTTAATTGCTTTCTTATAAAGAGTTTCCTTTTCTTTGAAACTGAGTTTTTTTTTATATTCTCTGTAAATCATGGTATACTTCATTTAAGTTTATGCGTATTTAAATGGAGCTTTCACTTCGAGTCCTTAGGATGTTATATGCATATTAGATCGAATCTTCAGCCAACTTTTAAAATCAATTAAAAAGTAATTTTAACGTATAAAATTAAATATTAATCTTGATAATGTTTAGACCATTAAAATGAACATTGAAGCTATACAAATATTATTCCTATATAATTTTTTTTATAAGATAATATTTGTTTGAAAATTTTTAATCATTTGATAATAAATTCTTATATCACTACAATGTTCAAATATGAGGACTCAAAAAATCCTTTAATCCTTGAAGTTGTTTGGTTTGTTATACTCTTATATAGTTAATATATATAGTTAATATGCCAGGTATCTAGGTAATTTAAAGGGTAAATTATACAAATGGTCCATCGGCGGTAGGATACTATTTTGTTGAGTCCCCGATTATTAAAAGTTATAAAATGGTCCCCCAACTATAGGGAGTAGCTTTGTTGAGTCCATCGACTATTAAAAGTTACAAAATGGTCATCGACTATTCATTATGCTCCAAATCCATTAAAAATTAACGGATGTTTGAGTTGGACGTTAACATGTTGATTGAGATATGATAGTCGTTTGAGATAATGAGAACATATTTTATCATATCTCAGTCATCAGGTTAACATCCAATTAACATCGTCATTAATTTTTTAAAGGAAAAGAACAAGTTTGGAACATAATAAATATTTGAGTGATCGTTTTGTAACTTTTAATAGTCAAGGGCTCAACAAATCAACTCTCTATAGTTGAGGGATCATTTTATAACTTTTTAATAGTTGAGGTGACTCCATAAAGTAACACCTTAAAACCAGGGGACCATTTGTGTATTTTACCATATTTAAAAATTGAACCGGTTTGAACCCTGGAAATCTGAAGTTTGAACTCAAAGTCACAACTAATAAGCAAAACAAATTAATGTTAGAAACTGAGTATTAAATGCAGCAGCTGGAGCATTGAATTGCCCACCTTTTCTTGCGTAACGTTTCCCTTTCTGTTCGCTTCATCAAATGGATTCTCCTCCTCCTCTCCTCAAATGTCCACTCATTCCCATTCCTCCCCTCTCTATCTCACCAACTTAGGCCTCGGCAACTCCATCGCCATCGCTCTTGGTTTCCTCGTGCTCCTCTCTATTATCCTCCTCGCCTCCTACGTCTGCTGCCGCCCTTCTTCTTCTTCGGCTCGCCGCTTCTCTCCCAACCCCGCCGCTGCCAATTCCGATGGAATCATTCTTCCCAGAGTTGTTTTTGTTGCCGAAGACGAAGACGATGAAAATGTGGTCGTGGGGCTGGATCAAGCCGTTATAAACTCATACCCCAAGTTCCAGTTCAGTAAAGAGGCGGTTGCTGTGGGTTCTAACGCTGACACGACATGTTCCATTTGTTTATGTGAGTATAGGGATTTGGAGATGTTAAGAATGATGCCCGAGTGCAGGCACTGTTTCCATGTTTCTTGTCTTGATGCTTGGTTGAAACTTAATGGGTCTTGTCCCGTTTGTCGGAACTCGCCACTTCCGACTCCGCTTTCTACGCCTTTGACGGAGATCGTGCCTTTGTCTCAGTACGCTGCAGACCGAAGGAGAATGAGGTGACTTTTATTTGGGGGTGCTTCTTCCTCTTTTTTTAAATCTCAGTTTGTGAGCATGAATTGGGTGAAATCAATTAAGAGTTTGATTCTTCTAACTTGTAATTTTTGTAAACATTAGCAAATGTTCTTTTTGGTTGCACTTTTCTATACATTTTATTTTGGGTTGTTGATCTTAAGCAAGAAGACACGTGAGTATGTAAGTTGTTCATGTTAGAAATTGTTTGTAGGATGTTGGTAGATGGATGGATGGATGGGTGTGAAATTCCTTGCATATTATGAATATAAATAATGACATAGGAACTTTTAAGAACGAATAAATTTATAAATTTTAGTGGTTGAAAATAAATGTTCAATAAAAGATATATAAAATAAATTAAAATATATTAATTTTAAATTTTAGAAGAGTGATTGCACCACGCATCCTCCACTGTTTAGCAGGATGAGAAATGAACAAAAGAATAAGACAAAGCCGCTGGTGTCTCTCATTTTTTTTTGCTGGTGATTGTGACTGCGGGTATTGCGATATGATGACCATCCAATTCTACCTTGTGTTTTGGTCATGAGTTTTAAAATCGGATCGGTTACTGAACCTATCATGTTATCGATTCACTAGTTCAATCGGTTGAGTCGTTCGATCGGTCGGAAGAATCGGACGACGTCATAATTATTTAAAAAATTAAATAAAAATACCAAAAATATTTAATAAAAAATAATTTTTTATATCACAAGTCATATTCAAAGCAAGTCATAACATATATAAGTTAAAAACCATAAAATCAAGTGAAACAAAATGATTCAAATTAACTACAACATAATATTTAAGGTAATAAATATATTTATATAACTATAATTAAAAAATAAATTTGGGGTTAAAAAAATCATAACAAAATGATATTGTTTGGTTTAATTTTTTTTTTAAAACAATCTCACATGACTAAGAAACATAGAAGGCATCCCAAAAGTCTAAAGGGTAAAAATATGATAACAAAACAATTTCACATTGCTAAGAAACATAGAAGCGCATCACAACTAACTTCTATAAATAATAGAGGTAATTTGACATTCAAAATCATGAAGCCTTTTGGTGAGCATTGAGTGAGCTATTCTTTCACTTCAATCAAGCTCGAATTTTAGGCTTCAATCGAGCTTCTAATATTTTTTTGAGTTCAAGCCTTTTTGAGTTCAAGTTTCAATATTATATTTCGAGTTTGAGTTGAACTTGATAATTTTTAGCTTGTGAGTTTGAGTTGAGTTGAGCTTACTTTTAAAGTTTTCAAGTTCGAGTCGAGCTCAGCAATACTCGAGTTCGACTTGGCTCGTTTAACAAACGACGTTGTTTGGTTTAATTTTTTTTAAAAAAAACAAAAATTCTGGTTTTTCCCGGTTTTTTCCGGTTTTTAACTGGTCCGGTTCGAACGGTTCAACGGTTCTAGCCGGTTCACTAATAACGGTTCAACCGATTTAAATTGAACCGAATTAAGCAACGATTTCCGATTAAACTGGTTAAATCGACCTGTCCGATTTTCAAAACAGAGGTTTTGGTTTAGTATGTGAACCCCACCTTTCGTTATTGAAAGGTAAGCCTTGAAATTGCCGACCTAAGCTCCCAAATTTCAAACATGTTTCCAATTTCGTTCCTGATTTCTCTAATGTTTGAAAATAAGACATTTTTTCTATTTTTTATTTTTAAATATTTAAAAATATCTAGAAAATTAAATTTTAATTTTATGAATTTAAAATTACGCTCTGATTATTTATTGGCTCAATATAAAAATAAGAACTTAAATTATATTTTTAAGTATTTAAATTATATTTTTTGTGAACATTAGGTGTCTAAAGAATTTTTTGTTCGAAGTAGGTGTTTAACGTTTTCAACGTTACAATTTTAAGTGTCTCTTCCGTAATGGTCGTTAAAAAAGTATCGTTTATTGACATGTGTTGTATTTATATTTTTCTTAAAAAATTATTTTAAAAAAAAAATCTAATTCCCTAATTTTTCCCACCTCGCCTTCACAAATCCAACCCTGCGCAAACCCCTCCCCCTTGTTTGTAGGTTGACGTTTGAAATTGGAAGGATCTATCGTGATGATTTAGGATTGATTTCCGTTGCTGAATTCAAAAATGAAGTGCAGAATTGAGAAATAAGGTATAAGAAAAACTGAGAAATTTAAAGGAAAGTAGAAAATACTGAGATTTCATTCATCATAGATAAAAGCAAATATGATGTTACATTCCCTTTTATTTACAACAAATGACACCTGTAATGTAACAACTATTTCACGTATGAGTCTAGGATGTCACATAATTCTTTTAATAAAATCCTTATTTGAAAATCAGTGAAATTTTATTTCTTTCTAAAATAATTCAATTATTATCAAGTTCTTAAAATATTTCATTTCGATAGCATTAAAAAATCATTAACTAAAATATTAATCAGCTAATCTTTATTTATAAACAGTAATAAATAATACTATCCATCAAAACCATATTCAAACATAATTATTTTTAAGTTTCGTAACCATTTAGTGTACATATCAACTAGTATTATCACCATTCAAAAAGATATAATACTGATTTTGGAGAGGACATGATCTTCAAAAGTTGATGTTGGGCCTAGCTCCTTACTCAAAACGCTCTTCTTTTCCTACGTGTGAAAACCATCACACGCTAAGTATGCACTTAGTGAGACATTAAGTTACTAATAAAATATTAATATCATTAAATAAAAACAGTAATAAAACATATTTATAACAAAATATACTGCTTGTATAATTAAATTAAACGTCATTTAAAATATGTCTATGATTCAAAGAATCATCATAAAACATTTAAAGTCAAAATAGAGTTCTCAAAGCAACATCATTTTCAATTCATGTCGTTTAGACTCTTTCATTTTAACTTCATTCAAAATAAGCTTTTCATTTCATTTCATTCATATCATAACATATCATATCATAGCATGTTCAATTCACTTCATTTATTTCATAGCATATATAATTCATTTAATTCATTACATAGCATGTATCATTCACTTTTCATTTCATAGCATGTATCATTCACTTTTCATTTCATAGCATATACTATTCACTTTTTCGTTTTATAGCCCAATGTAAACCACTGAGAATACAACGTATTCGAGTCAGACGAGCATATACATAAGTAGCATCACTGTTACATAATGTCAGACATGCCAGGTACCATCGATAGTAGCACCAACGTCACACAGATGTTAGACGTGCTAGGTACAGTTCATAATAGCACCACTGTCACATAGACGTCAGATGTGCTATTTATCGTTAATAGTAGCACCACCGTCACAAAGACGCCAGACGTGCTAAATCAGTATTAATAGTAGCACCACCATCACAAAGATGTCAGACATGCTAATTGCTCCACATCTGTACTAATGATTCTCAATGCATTTACAATGGACATTTTCTTTAAATCATTTATCATTCACTTATCATAATCTTTTTAAACATCATCACAATCAAGTGTCATATTTCATTCGCTCATCATAGTTTTTTTTAAAATATTAACAAAATCAAGTATCATATAATATAAATCTCAATACGTATACAATGGGCTTTTCCATCACATTCACATATCACTTAAATTTTTAAGTATTCATAAATACGAACATATCAAAATATAACATATATAAATACATTGGGCAGTTCAACCCGAAATTATTCAAAAGAAATAATTTAGCAAAATATTATGAAATATAATAAAACGATTTGAAATCATTTTCATTCCAAATCATTCGAGGTTGACTCATCGCAAGTCGTCCTCATATCATGCTTATATTAGTATAAGTAAAATGTACTCACTTGGAAATGCCTTACTAGTAACCTTACTTAGCGTTTTCAAGTTTTCTTTCCTCTCGATATTGATCACAATCTTCATGTTCATCATTTATACACCACATACATTCCAAAGCATTTATTAGTATCTTACTATTATAGGCATAATCTCGTAATAAAATTCATAAAAATTCTATTGATACTTATTCGATACTAAATCCATTTCAAGACGTCAATGCTAACCTTAATACTTAAAATATAACTTTAATCCTCTTATCGTTCATGTCAACTCATACTCAATTAATCATTTCAAATTCCACCATCTAACCATTAAAATGAAATCTTTTAGAATTCTTCTTAACATTTCTAATTTATTCAAAATGATCCCTTGCCATTTAACTTCATTTCCAAGCATACAAAAATATGATCGAGCATTATAATCATACATTTAAACATTACTCTTCAACTTCTAATCAATTTCCACTTCAATTCTAAAATTTTCATATTTTGACAACTTACACTATCTTTGAAGAATCATTATTATGTATTAATCTATACACTGTAATTTAATTATGTTTCTTTCGTTCGAAAATAGACTCGAATAAGAATCTAACCATATAAAGTACTCCTTCTAATTCAACTTGTACACTTTATAGTAAATTTTCTAATACAATTTCCATAATCTCTTTTGAGCAGAATCTGCTGCCCTATTTTCTGACATATCATCGATAAAAAATTCATATCTTTCCTTATACAATTCAAAATAGATACACGTTTGTTTTAAACAAAGAATTTCTAGTGATTTTTCAAACTTCCTGTCAGATTCAAAAATCTAAACAGTTTTCATTGTTTTGCATCCTTAATTTCTTCACCAAATTTTACAACTTGCATTCTTGATCCTTCATCATTTTTACTTATTCAAGTTTATCCCAAAAATTTCAACATTGTAAAAAACTGTGCACCAAAAAAGTATTTGTCATTTTAATAAAATATTAACAATTTTTCAGTGTCACATTTTATCTAAACGTCATAGAAAAGTTCCCCACCAAATTTTTTGGAGGCAAATTTTGGCTCCAAACATATAGTGACAAAAACTTATGACCTTTTATAAAATTGTCATAAAAGGTATAGCATAAATCACCAAATGTGACGAAAACAAAAGAACGTCACGTTTATAGTATATTTTGTGACGTTATAAGAAACGTCATATAGAAATTTCGTCATAAATTGATAAATTTGTTGTAGTGTTAGCCTCAATCTTCATCGGCCTCTGGTATCCAAGCTTCTCATCAATGGTCGACTCCAAATCATAGAATACGAATCGCTGCCTATTGTCTGCTGTCACTGTGGCATATATGGTCATCATAAAGATTTGTGTCCGCAGGTTCAAGTGCAGAGAAATGACCAACCAGTGAATGAGGCTCCTCCGCCTCCGGCTACCGGAAACCCAGCTTCGAATGAAGCGTTCAGACCTTGGATGCTGGTGGAACGAAAAAAGCATAATTCCAGGAACCAAATTTTTGCAAAACAAATAATTCAGGATTCTAGCCCCATTATTACAAATCCCATATTTGAAACAATTCCTAATAATTAGGAATTACAGCCAGATTCTAGGGTGACTGAAGAGGAGCCCACCTTGCCACCTTCTGTGTCGCAATCAACTCATGTGAATACTTCAATGTCTGCCCCAAAGAAAGCTCATTCAGATAAAAACAAATCTAAGGGAAAGACCTTAGTTCCCCCAAAAAAGGTGCCAGTTGTCCCACACCCTACAAAGAAACAGGCCAACCTTGGAGTAAAAGTAACTAAACCTCATGCATTAGTAAAAAACTCCATGCAAGGTTTACGTACCATAGGGAGTGAAGCTTCTTCCTCCAAAATGCCACGTTCGAGCTCGGGTGAAAACCTTTATCCAAACAAACACCAAGCTGTGAAATTAACAGATGGGGATAACCCAAGTATTCCAATCGAAGCTCTAGCTCCCCCTATAGCTAGAAAGGTTAATGATGCAATGGTTGAATAATGGGTTTCCCTGCCTATCTCGAAAAATTAAAATATTTTCTTTATATTATTTAGGTTTAATACAAAAATAAGTATTTAAATTATGTCTCAAAAAAGGTTTTAGTTCCTAAAGAATTTTTCACTAAAAATAGGTGTCTAACGTTTTCATCGGAGAACTTTTAAGTTTCTGGACCTTAACGGCCGTTAAATTTGGCCGTTAAGTGACATGTGTCACGTAATGGTAATTTTGTGAATTAATTTAAAAAATAAAAAATAAAAAATATTTTTTTTTATTATTAAAAAAAACAAACGACAGACCGTGCCCCCTCCCCCCTCCCCTTCTTTCTCCCTTCTCCCTTTCTCCTTCCCCCTTCCATAGTCTCTGGCTAGCCAGCCGTGACCGTCACCACCACCTTCATCAGCATCGGCGTCTACCACTGATCAAACCTTCATTCATCTTTCATCGTAAACTGTCACCCTTTGTCGTGGATAAGCATTCAAAGGTTCTTCAGATTTTAAGTCACCGTCGTTGTTATTCGTCGATTCCGACTGATCCCAACATCCATAAGCCACACCGTCACCACCATTCGAACTACCGTGCAATTCCGATCATAACCCAAGTGTTCGGCGATGATGGTGGTCGGAGATGGCCGACGACGGTTGGTAATGAAGGTTGAAATGAGATATTTTAGTTTTTTTTATAAATTCATTAAAGATTTAGGTTTTTATAAATAAATTAAGCTTTTTTAGTTTTTTAAATAATATTTTTATTATTAAAAAAATTTAAAAGTTAAAAAAAATATGATGGTAGGCACCTATTTTTAGCAAAAATTTCTTTAGGCACTAAAGCGTTTTTTGATGTAAAGTTTAGTCACTTATTTGTGTATTAAGCTTCTTATTTATTGATAGTATGTTCCGTATTCCTAAAGTTTATAAATTATCCCTTAAAGTTTTATAAATCCGTCCCCAATATAAAATCTTAGGTATGTTCATGTCACTACCCAATTCTGCACTGCTTGCTTGTCTCCTCCTACTTATCTCTTTTAATGCTTAACTACTCTATCTATAGAAGAGAATTTATATTTCAGTGACCATGGATGCCAAACAATAAAGACCAATCAGAAGCTATTTATGTGGAATTTCTATCAAGACAAGAAGGACTCAATTATATAATGAGGACCTCCAATATTATTGGTAAGGCATGATAAAGTTATTAAGAGGTTTAACTTAAGAAACAATTTCTGTTCTTGGCAAATGAACAATGCACAATGTGATAAAGATGAAATTACTCAGGGACCGACGTAACGTTTTATGTTAGGGGGCGAACTTAAAAATTTTAAGTAGAAAAGAATTTATAAAATTTTAGGGGACAAAAACATATTTTCAAAAAAAAATACAAAAAAATATCTAAAATATATAAGAATTTAAAATTTTAAGGGATGACTGCCACCACCTTCCTCTAGTTCCATCCCCGGACTTACCTCAAGAGATGGGCATTGATAAGTTTTCTAAAGCATTTTGTTAATGGTGAAGGAACTTGGAAACAAAGTCGTTATTTTTCTCTGCATCCACTTGGATTCACTGTAATTTTTTATTACAAGTCTTCAAACCCTCTACCGCCTACATTTGCTGAAATTTTGGATCATTTCGCTATTGGCATTGAACTTTGCTACAAGGGAAATGAAGATTCAAAAACAAGAGAACACTAATTTAGGGTCACATGCAGTTTCAACTTTAATGCAGGAATTGTACGGCAGTTCATGGAGTGGTCTTCATGTGGAACAGTGCTTTTAAAACAGCACATGTTTTATTCTGATTTCTGCTAAGTTATTCATTATTCAAAAGAGGTTATTAAATTTATTTGAATCGAATGATGGGTGGTTAGTAGATGGCAGATGCAGTCATGGAAGTACAAGAGATGTAGATTCAACAAGGAAATATACACATGAGGCTAAGTCAGTTAACCTAACAGAAGCAAACTATTGGACGATAGCGAGTTCGAATATAGAAATCTGCAAAAGAATAATGATTACTTGAACTATAATGAACCGACCAACCCATTTAGGACCATTGAGTTTTCTGGTAAGAGTGGCAAGACATCTCCAAATTAGAATTTCACTGTGACCCACCATGAACATGGATGTGTCAAACATATGGGCTAAGTTTTTATTCTTCCCCTTTGCTTCAGCTGCCAGCCAAAGGTTGAATTTTAACGCATTACTTGTACATGAAAAACTGCAGATTAATGAGGCATCACAATGTATATACAAAGGAATCGTCTTCTTCCTATTCCCATTACCATTTTTGGTCAACAAATAACACAAGCATTTGGATTCTCTTCCATGCTTTGAACAAAGTAGTAAGTGGTCATGTGAGGATTGTATGCTTTGTAGGCCTTGACAAGCTCCGACACAGGGTCTGGTGGCGGCACAGGCTTTTTCTTCTCTTTCTTGGGTTCTTCCTTCTTCTTCGGCTCCTCGTTCTTCGGTGGTTCCTTCTCTTTCTTGGGTGGTTCTTCCTTCTTTGGCTCCTCCTTCTTCACTGGCTCTTTTGCTGGCCCTACTGATACTATGTCAGTTGGCCAGTACTTGCTTAATTTGCTCATCACGTTTACTGGATCAACTGTTCCAATCACTGTCAACTGCTTTGCCTTCATATCCATGGCAATGGAGTCGATTCCTATCAATTTTACATAAACAAATCACCCTTCTGCAGAAAGAAAATTGAAACAACATGAGACAAGAATACAATACAAGCCAAAGTTTCATCACCAAAGTTAGAAACTTAAAAAGATACCGAAAATAGTTGAAAACAAGAAGAGAAAGGGAAATTGGGTGAATTAAAGGTAACAGAAAGAATTGAGACCGACTTTAAAGCCTTGTGTTTGGCTTTGTCATCATGCAAACCCAACTTCAAAACAACCTTCTGAAACTTAAAAAACAAAAAATAACAGTCATATTTCAGGATCATTTATAGAAAAATCATCAAAAGATGACATATTAGACAAGATCAAAAAACCACTTTTATTCTTAGGAATAAAACGAGAATCTCAACTGGAAAGACTTGAGGCTTTTAACCATATAATAAAGAAATATATGCATTAAAAGTATATGAAGAATCAGAAGCAAACCTGCATTTGTGTTGGACTTTTTTCTTCTTCCGAGAGAATTGCAGAGTTCAAAAAGAATTAACGAGAGGGCTTGATAGGTTGAGGTGCAAAGAAGGAAAATAAATGGGAGTGTTGAAAGTACAAAACATAATGTGTTTCAGGCAACAATTAATTTACGATAGAAAAAAAAGTTAGTATCTACGTATACAAATTTTTTTCTAGATTTATACAAATTTAAGATCGTTGTTATATGATTGGAAATAAAAAAAGTTGGGATTATCTACTTAATATTTAAATCAATATTTTCTCATTTTCTACTGTTAATCTCAATTAGGAACGTATCTAGACTATGACACATCTAAGCCATGGGCCACCCCAGTGGATCCATTAAGGATTCAGGGTGGCCACATGCTCACCCTAAAATCTAAAATTTCTTTTAATAATTACCTATTTTAATGGTGGTGCTCACCCCCATGTATAAAAAATTTATGTGGTTAATATATATGCATGTCCACCCTGAAGCCTAACTCATGTTCAAAAAGGGTAAATTATTTATTTAGACCCCACTTATCATTTAGTTTCTATTTTGGTCACTTGTCTTTAAAATATTAACGGTGATGTTGATGTGTCATCATAAAAGAATGCCACATCATGATGGAAAAACAATTAAAAAAAATGTCACATTAGTATATTGTTAATCTCTAATGGTAGGTGACCAAAACATAGCGTTAGATATGATTTTGAAAGCACTATCCAAGTGACCTAGGTGGTAAAGAAATTCCTTGAGGTCTCGAGTTTGAGCACCATGAATGCCAGGGGTGTGAGCGTTCAATGTCAAATGGTTAAAAGTTATTTTTGAATGGATACTACTTTATAGTTGCCCCAGATTAATCCATAAAAAATGATTTTGAAGAAAAAATAATAGTTGAGTAACCAAAACATAAATTAAATAATAGACGAAAGACCAAATAAGTAGTTTACCCAAAATAAATATATGTATGAATGTTTAAAAAATTATATTGTTCCAATTAATATATTTTTTAGATTTAATCCATATATATATATATATATAATATTTTAAAATTAAAATTAAAATAACTTTTTATTATATTTTTTTGGATAAGCAATTCATCTTATTATCCAAGAAGCACCCAAAAAAACGCTGCTACCAATCAACGCAAGACACAAAACATCCCCTTAAGAGGACTAAATTCTCCATGCTATACTAAGATTTTGATTAACCATATCACTTTTAATGATTTTCCTATGAACCTTATCCCTCACAATCCCTTTAATACTCTCAACAATATCATCATCACTCCTACTTATACCCCTAAATTGCCTATAATTTTTCTCTTCTAATATGCAATATATGCAAGCACACCAAGCTATTTTAAGTATGTAAACAACCAAAGACTTACCCTTAAGGAAATCCACAACCCAATTATGTTCATCTTCCCAGCTCCCTACAGCTCTGTCAATCCTACACAAAAAAAGAATGTCTTTCCAAACTGCTCGAGAAAAGCAACATTAAAAAAACAGACGACACCTAATCTCAAGCATCACACCACAGCCTGCAACACCCATCAACCACCATCCCCATTCTGATAAGCCTATCAGCAGTAGGCAATCTACTAAAAATAGCCAACCAAACAATCATGGAGTGCTTAGGAACATGCAAGAGGGAACCAGACAAGCTTATGCCATACAACCTTCTCATGCTTCACTCTTAGAACTGTCTTCCCAAGGGGAACCATCAACAGCTTAGCAAAATCTTATTTATGTCCAGTAAATGGAGTTTCCCCAACAAGCAAGCTTCTCACCAAAACCAAAATACAAGCTTTGTTCCAATACTTCAAATTATTTACTCCTAGATCCCCTCAGATTTAGGGTACAAATACTGTCCCAACTCATCCTTGCACCTCTAACTGGAACATCACCCCTTTCCATAGGAACCTAACACAAAACTGGTTAACTATATTTATCACTTCAGCAGGTAAAATCAATTGCCTACATAAGAAATTCACTATGCTAAACATCACAGCTCTTACTAGTTGCAATCTACCTGCATAACTCAGTAGTTTGCTGGACCAAGGCCCCATCATAGCCTTGATTCTGTCCACCAAGGTAGCACAATCATTCTCTGTCAATTTCTTAGGAAGAAGAGGCACACCAAGGTACCTAATTGGGAGCCTTCTCACTCTAAAACCAGTAGTTGCATGCACCAAGGATATCATATCATCATTCATGACAAGGGTAAAAATTTCTGACTTTACAACATTAAGCTTCAGATCAGAGAACTCATAGAAATTTTTCAACACACATTGTACCCCCAAGATGGAATCCAAAGTACCTTTGTAAAAAAAAATAAAAAGATCATCTGCAAAACACATATGAGGAAGCTTCAGCTTCCTATACTTTGGGTGATAATGAAAAAGTTTCTCCCCTGCAGCAACATCCAATAGTCTTAACAAGATGTTCGTTGCTAGAACAAAGAGGTAAGGGGACAAAGATCTCCTTGCCTCACCCCTCTCATTCCTTCAAAAATCCAACCAAACTACCATTGAAAATAATAGAGAACTTGGACTTTGTGACACAAGCTTCAATCCAAGTTCTAAACTTAGCAGGCATCCCCAGACCCTCCGAAACAACCAGCATAAAACCTTAATGCAAGGAATCAAATGCTTTTCGCAAATCAGTTTTTGATAGAACATTTAGGAGAAATTGAACCCCTACCATACCTTTTGACTATTTCATATGCAATGAGACTGTTATCTTCAATGTTTCTTCCCTTGAAAAAGGCAATTTGATTTTGTGAAATCATCCAGGGAAGTAGTTTGACAACCTAGTCACCAAAATCTTAGTGATGACCTTATATATGACATAACATCAAGATATGAGTATGAAATCCTTGTCCATACTTTCATTAGGCATTTTAGGCACAACAATGTCATTGAAAGCATGAAACAATCGAGAGGAGTCAAAAAACTACTTCACAACAGCATACACATCATCACCAACAACATCCCAGGAAGATTGAAAGAAGCCTGTAGTGAAACCATTAGGCCCAAGGGCCTTATTCTTCCCCTGACTGGAAGTGGAAACCTTTACTTTCTCTCTAGAAACTTCTTTAGTCAAGTCAACCCTCCATTCCTCAGGAAAAGAATAACCAGTCAAGCATTTAACAAAAGCAACATCATACCCTTGTACAACATAGTCAATAACACCAATTTGATTTGTAAAAAACCTCACCATTTTTGAAGACATAGAGTCAAAGGTCTCTAGACTATTCCCCTTCTCATCCATCACGAACCTTATTGTGCTTCTCTTTCTCTTAATTGTAACTTGAAAATGAAAGAACTTAGTGCATTGATCACCCTCCTGCAACCAGTTCTCTTTATCCTTTTGCTGATAAAACAACATCTCAACTTTCTCAAGATCAACCAATTCCATTTGAAGCTCATTTTCAATAGCAAAACTAGTTGAATCAGACCTAACTAGATTTTCCATATGTTTTTCCTCCAACTTCACTCTTTTATTAACCACATTTCCAAAAATTTTGGAATAATACTCCATATTCAAGTCTTTTAACACATCTTTAAGCCTTTTCAACTTATGAAAAAGTGCTTACATAGGATTCCCCTGAACAAGCTCCCTCAAATAATTTCTCAATACTTCCTTAAAACCATGGTACCCTTCCAAAAAACTGAAATATTTAAAAGGCTTAGGCCTAGCAGTCAAACTATCCCCATAATGCCATACAACAACTAAAAAGTGATCAAACTCTATAGGAGCTTGGAATTCCACATGAGACTCTAAGAAAGAGTCACACCATCAATCATTAACCAAAAACCTGTCAAGCTTCCTAGCTAGAAAATTAGTCTCATGCTTATTAGACCAAGTAAAAATAGTCCCCAAACAAGGATGATTAACTAGACCCAAGTCTCTCAAGCAACACTTAAAGCCCTCCATCTCAGCAGTATATAACTCCCTAGCATTAGAGCTTTCACTGACATCAGTGATGACATTAAAATCACCACCAATGAGCTAAGGAGAACTACTAACGAAAGAATCAATAACACTAATGTCCCGCCAAAGGTCCCTCCTAGTAACTCTGTTATTACTTCCATAAACAACAATGATAGCCACACTTTTACCACTAAGTTTACCTTGAACATTAATTATCTTAGTTGTTACATGCACCACAATAAAGCAATGACCTTTCTTCCACAAAACCAAAATCCTCCCATTAGCAACATAATTATAATTCCAACAATAGTTCCAATCATCAATCAGATTAGCAATAACATAAGGAGCCTTATGCTCTCTAACTCTATTTTCCAAAATGCAAAACATTTCAACATGCAACTTTTCCACCCTGTACAGAAATTTAGCTTGTTTTTTTGGATGATTAAATCCCCTAACATTCCAAAAAATACAACCATTAGGAAAGGGAAGAAACAATACCTCTTACTGAATAACTAGCACCACCAGTCTTCAAAATGCAAAACATTTCAACATGCAACTTTTCCACCCTGTACAGAAATTTAGCTTGTTTTTTTGGATGATTAAATCCCCTAACATTCCAAAAAATACAACCATTAGGAAAGGGAAGAAACAATACCTCTTACTGAATAACTAGCACCACCAGTCTTCCTAGTCTTATTTAAGTGCTCTTTTTTCTTAAACTTCAACTCCTACAAAATATTAGCCACACCTTGAGAAGCCAGCCTTATTTTCCTGCCTGCACCATCACTCTCATCCAACACAGCTCCAAAAACTTCAAATTTGTTTGAAGAACTAACAAAAGCCACCTTCCCCTTGTCTCTCTTCTTTCCATGCCCTTTCTTTTTCTGAGAGGGAAGATCTAGAGGATGAAAGTCACTAGCCACACTAGCCCCAAATTCCTCAGCCTTTTCTGCTCACTATCAGCCACAGTCACTTCCTGACACAATTCCACGACATCAACTACAACAACAGTTACACCCTTAGCACCACAATATGTCCCCTCACTATGAGCAATAACTTATCCCTGATTAGAC